CCCCCCCCCCCCGCCCCCTGTTACTTTGCATGTGGTGGGAAGGAAAGCACCAGAGTGATGGGGAGCAAGGGGTCAGGCACAAGCATGAGTGGGGCAAGGGGTGGGGGAACAGACAGCAGGGGCAGGTGGCAGATGGGTTGGGGAGCAAGTGGCAGGCAGGGCAGCAGGTTTTGAGGGCAGGTATAGGGACAGGGGGGTTAAGGGGCAGTGGTTTGGGTATAAATTTAAGACAACCCTCCAATAATTAGATTTTAGCCACGTAAAATTGTAATAAATTTATAATTTTCCATGATAGAATTTTATTATTGGGAGGTTATCTTAAAGTTATCTAGGATTTGGGGAAGTATAGTGTCCTCTTTTCTCATTGCAGCTGAAAGCAGTGATTTTTCTCTCCGTTATGGTTGTAAATAGCCCAAGACTCAAAAACTCAAAATTGTCTTCAAAGCTGTCAGCGTGTTATAGTGCTAAGTAATTTGGCTATGCTCAGGGATGCATCATTCTGGCTTTCTTCATTGCTTATCCTATACCAGTAGGACTCTGCAAATATTCTGAGGAAAATAATTGTACCCTTTGTTCTACATCTGTTGTTTTTTTCTACTTGGCTCAGGAAAAAAATGCCCTGTGATTGCATGAGCCCTCATGCAAGCTACTAGTTGAAACAAGTTTGAGGCAGTATATTCTTCACTAAGGTTCTTGGGGGCCTACTTTAATGTGGAGAGCTGTGAAACAGCTACAAATCAGAACTTGCATATAAATAAACCTCAAGCTTGTGGGGTACTTTGGATGTTGAATATTGTGTGTACCTTAAAAATAGAATAGTTTAGTATTTCACGGGAGGTTTTCCAATTTAATGCTCCTTTCAGAGAGGGTCTCAGTATCGGTATTTCTAACAGCCTCACCAGCCTTGGTATGAAGCAGGAACAGCATAAAGCGCCCCCCCCCCCCTCCTGTTACAACAGTGCCTTCTTTTACATGCTGTGTCACTGCATTTCTTGTCTTAAACTTCCCCAGAGGCAGACCGCGCCAAAGTGTAGTTTTTTACTATAAAATAGTTTATTACAATCGATAACCCTAAAAATAATTTTCAAAGTATACTATTTCTGACAGGTAAAGATAACTTTAGAATAGAAAAGAATGTTTAAAAAAAAATCAGATTATCTGGTAGATTACCAAAATGTAAAGAACATGGCATTCACAAACAGAAACCAGTTTATTCATGACTCTTTATTTGTGTTTTTGCTATGTAGAAACCAACTAATGGAATTCGAAGAAGCTCTAGACATATGGACTCAGGTTTGTTTTGTTTTGTGTCTTTTTTTTTTTTTTAATAATTCACCATTTGAATTAAAAATGGGGATAAAAAGCTTCAAGTTGTACCATCATGGTGTATCATGATCATCGTTGCAAGATTGCAAGTATAAGTATATTGCCTGTATTTTTTTCACCGGGATCCTAAAATCTTGCATGTCTAAATGAGCTGCTTGAGTCTTCTCAAAGCTATAGTTAGTTGTCTGACAGAACTCTGATTCTTTTTTTTTTTTTGAACTTCTGTTTTTATGAGCAGTACTTGCACTGTTTTGTTTGCATACTGAAAGGCCTCTGGGCTTATGGTTAACAGATCCCCCACCCTTTTGCAGTCTTCTGTTTGAAAATCAAACCAAATAAAAAGACAAGCAGCTATTTGTAAATCTTAGGGTCTAATCCTGCAAAGTGCTCTCAGCATTTCTAAAGGGTATTCTGAAAAGCTGCTCTTCAGAAAGAGTGCAGAGTTTACATGGACTTTTAAAGGGACATTATTTCACTGTAGCTTATATCAGATATTGTTAGAGAATCATTGACAACGTTCTTAAGGACAAATTAAAGGTTTATTTACAACCTGTATGCTCAACTGGGTGAGTACCTCCTCTGGAGAGTAATTATTTGTCTGAATAAAATATATAATGGTACTAAACAGAAGACCTATTTAATGATGTGAGAATTTTTGGCATAATTTTTACAGTAATTATGTTTTTGTTCTTTACATATTTCTTTTCACAATTTAATCGCTAGAGAGTTATAATGTGGATGGTAATAGTATATGGTGTCAAACCAAGTTATGGATTATACAATGTGTGGTAGTTTTTTTTGTTCGTTTGTTTGTTTTTTAATGTGGATACCTGAGAATAATTTGTGTACAACATTATATAGTGGAGCAGCTTAGTGCCATCATAGATCCTGGCAGAGCTACGTGTTTGGCAAAAGCAGGTTTGGAGTTGTGCTGCAATTATTACTGGCGTTCAGCTGCATAGGCTTTAATGCTCTAAATACTGTAAATACTTGAAACAAACCACACCCTTTTGTCAGTTTGAGACATTTTGGAACATGTATAGTTGCTTTGTTGCCACTAGCAAAATATTACTTCACTCTGCTTTTTGATCAGTTTTTGTTCCCTTTTTTTTTAAAAAAAAAAAAAAAAAAAAAAGCCATTTAAAAAGAATTTAAACTTGTAATATGTGAACCCATAAGAAGAAACAGCCTAAAAAATAAGTCAAAAGCAGATAAGAATCAATTGGTTCAGTTTTACGAAAGTAATATGAGTTTTCACTACTCATTCAGACCCAAGGTTTTTAAACTTAACTAATGTTTAGTTTCTACAACGCTATTTGGACACCTAAATAAAAGTAGCCTGATTCAGAGGTGCTGAACACTGAAGTTTGGTAGCAATTGGCATCCTAATTAACAGGGATCCTGGGCTTCTCTGTTTAAAAATCACAAATTCTCTGATAAAAATTAAAAATTCTCTGATTTAAACCCCCAAATCCATGTTTAAAATGAAATGGCACTATCTAGCTATATACTAGGGCTGCTCGAAACACCATCGTTTCATTTTGCCATTTCGAAGGGACAGTGTTTTGTTTTGTCGTTTCATTCTGTTTCGAAGCACTGTCCCATTTCATTTCATTGAAGCTGTTTCGACTGGTTTCGACGTTTTGCCCATAAGCTACAATGGGGAATCATGAAAATACATAAAACATTGTCATTTGTTGCTTGATTCGGATGCAGATTGCTGGGATGGGAGCCCCTTCTGAGGGCATGAAGCCTGCCAAGTTTTAAGGAGATAGGTGCAGAGGTTTCTCGGAACCTGCACCTCAAAGTCTTGAAAGAAAAATTTGTGAGACTTACTGGCATCGGCAGGCTCCTGTCATTCGGCGCACAGATCTGGGGGATTACACACCCGGAGGGCTGCAGGGCTGTACCAGACTCCTTCTGGGGGTGCGGGTCTCCAGATCTGTGCCAGGTGACAGGAGGCTGCCGCTGCTGCCTGGAACCAGCACTTGGTGCAGCCCGTGCCCAGTTCCATGGAGCTCAGCCCAGTCCCAGGAGGCAGGCAGAGCCGGTGGTACTCTCCAATCAGAGTGCAGCCCTGGCTCTGCCCGTCTCCTGCCACCAGGCTGTGCTCTGATTGGCTTTACCAGCCCCATGGAATGCAGTCCGGTGGCGGGAGGTGGGCAGAGCTGGGGCTGCACTCCCCGCTGGGCTGTGGAGTTGCTCAGAGTGCAGCCCTGGCTCTCCCCTGCCTTCCACCACCGGGCTGCTTTGAAACTTGAAACATTTCAAAACTTCCAAAACATTTCGAGTGCCCTCATTTTGTTTCAAGGTTGTTTCGATGGTTTTTGTTTGGTTTCAATTTCACTGTTTCATGCTCAAAACGCATTGAAACAGCTTCAAAACAAAACATGCAGCGACATTTTGCACAGCCCTACTATCTGTCTGTCTATCTATCTATTGAACACAATATTTTATTGATATATTTACAATTTTAAAGCAATTTGGAAGCCTACTAGTGCCTCAATCACTATAAAAAAAATTCTAAGTACTTATAAATTTGATTTTGGGTTTTTATTATGGAATTTCAGAGCTCCCTCTGCCCCCTTAGCTTGCTAGGATGCAAGTCCAGGCCTCTTACTCCCAAGCCACAGCCCCCCCAGCCCTGTTGGTGCCCCACAGTCCCCTCACCCCTTCCAGCCCTGCCAAAGGGGGGCCCCCAGCTTCCAGGACTACAGGGCTATGGACCCGCGTCCACAGCCCCCTGTCTCCCACATCAGCACCTGAGCCCCAGCTTCCATCCATGGAGCCTGGCTCCCCCTCCCACCTGGGTAGCGTGTCCAGAGCAGAGCCCGTGGTGGGGCGGGCTAGGGCTCCCTGCCCTGCTGCCCTCCCCCTGGGGCCTCTGTTGCCCAGTGGGAGGAACTTGGCAGGGCAGGGCAGGGCTGGGTGGGGAAGCTCCTTGCTGCTGCAAGCTCTGTGCTGCCCTGGCAAAGTGCCCCCGTGCTCACCTGGCAGCAGCAGGTGGCACAACTTTGTGCTACCACCCCCTCTGATGATGGGTGGGAAGGGGGTACTTCACCAAGGTGGTGTGATGCTTGTAGCAGCGAAGAGTTTTCCTGCTTGGCTGCTTTCTGCTCTGCCACACTGGGCCCCACCCATTGGGCTGAGTAGGCCCCAGGGGGAGGGCAGCCTGCCTCCACCCCATGCACAGATCTGGGGGTATGTGCCCCCCAGGGCCTCCCCAGAAGTGCAGACAAGCTGCTTGTGATTCCATTCTGCTCCCCGCCAGTGCCCTATGGCTGCAAATGCACCACCTTGGCTGGGCAGCAGCCCCAGCTCTGCCAAACTCCCTCCCAATGGGGGCCTCAATCCCCCCTCCCCTCTGCCAGACTTACCTGTGGGAGCTGCTCTCCAGGCTGCCTGGAGGCTATGTGCATGCGTGAGCGCACACACGTACAGGGGATTTCTGCCTGCCTGACCTCCTTC